CATAACTGGAATTCCACACATGTCAACACTTTGAAAAGATTTCTCTTGGTGCTAAAACAGAAACCTCCAAAGCTGAACTGAATCAACAAGGTTCCAATTTTAGGAGACACCTATTAAGAGGCAGTGTAAGCATGTTGGATGTTTTAAGTTTCCATTTACAGCGCTAATGAAATGTTTACATCCTCTTCTCATGAACATGGATTTTATTGTAGTATGGAGTTTTCATATTTTTTTGTTCCTCAACCTTTTATGTTCATTACGGATATTTTGATTATACAACAAAAACTGTCAACTACTAATTTACACTATATCTATGAGTTTGTACTAATGTTGGATTTTTCCAAATCAACACATGTACATACATGATCCCCCATCAATATCAGATTCAGCAAGTTACATGTTACCTTGTGTTGCAAGCTGGATTGTCGCGAGATCTGAGTTTTCAGTCTCACAACAAATCCATCTTGAAAGACTCCCGCTATACGTCCATCTCTAAACAACCAGTGGGTCAGACCAGTGACATGCCAGCAGTGTTTTCTGGGGTGGGACATGTAGGAATGATGACAGTCAGAAGGGCCTAGTCGGAGCATTATAAATATGGCTACGCTGGAGGACTCACCTGTCGATACTGCAATTGTGTCTACATTTGGTTGGAGGTTGGTTGAGGACCCATATGGAGAGATGAAGGAGGCAGAGATGAGTTCTTGCAGGTTTAATGAAGTAACTGAGACAAAAATCCAAAACACAAAGACCTAAAAAAACAATTTTTGGAAAACTCAGAACCTACTCAGACTTTAGCCCATCATAAAGTGGAAGCTGCTGTACCATCAGCTTCGCAGGGAGGAAAGTTTAACATTGTAAAGGACTGAAATGGTGCTAACTGAAACGTAAGCTCTTACACTGACATAATTTTCCTTAAATTCATAAAAAATTCACTTCTGCACATGAACTAGCCAAGAGACAACACAGAATGGGAATATGAAGGAGGATGATTTCCTCCAAACTCAACTTTTATTTCCAATCAGCAGAAAGAAACTAATCATAACTGTAATTGAAACAGATTAAAGCCTTATTATGTGGTACAAAACCTCATTTTAAATAATCTTTACCAACTTAGAAAAATGCATGCAGCATTTTTGGTGATGGAGACAAAAGGTGTTTAATTAAATTTACTTACGAATATTTGAGAAAACACAGTGGAAATACTTTTCTACATTTGAGTCTGAATATGTAAATTAAAGAAAATGGGCAATCAATTTAAACCCAGTTTGCCAATTCCTGAAACCATTTGTAGTAATCTGTATAATGTAGGAAAACCAACAACACAGTTTAATTACCGGGTGCTTCCTTGAAGGAAAATGGTACACTGTGGTATTGCATAATAGCAGAAAAATAAAGGGAAGCTCTGATTCTTTACTTTTTGAAATGTGACAGATTTACATCAGCCTTAATCCAAAAATCTAAGTGGCAATGATAATGTGATATTGCACTGTTTCCTGCAGAGTAACAGCCTTTACACCTCTGGTTTCAAACTGAGAACAGGTGCGCTCGCTTTATTGCATATATTTGTGAGCGTGTAGCCATTCTGGCAGAGAAAGTGGAATAAAACCCAGCTTCACAGCAGTTTTGTAAGGAAGTAAATAAAAAATAAAGAAAACAAAAAAAAAAAAAAACACTGCAACACCCACCATCAGCCAAGCTGTGCAGGACCATCTCTCCAGGAGCCTCGTCAGCGTGGAGATAATGATGGTTTTGTCAGCTCTGGATTAAACCTCCCAGCAGTCGTCATCATGAGTTTCTGCAAAAACATTTTATTTATTTATTCATTTTCTTTTTTTTTTTTTTTACTTTCAACTGCTCCATAAAAAAAGTCAAAAGATTGCGCTTTGATATCTAACTACTTTGATTCCTCTGGCATTCATCATCCTCTAAAACATATTGTGATAAAGACACTCAGAAACATGGGAGATTTTTCTTTGATTTTTGCTATTCTTTTTTCCTTCTTTATCTGCCTGGTGAATGGCATCCTTTTGAGTTACAAATCATCCAGGTACAAGAATGTCATCTAAAGTTAAAGAAGGAACTAGTGTTATGTTGTCTAAAGAATATCCTGCAAGGGAGTAATAAATTAATTTCGGATTCTCGTGAAAGAGAACTTAGCTAAGAGCCGACGTCAAACCCTTACGTACTTTGTTACCTAAAGCTCATATACCACTAGGTTTGCTCCAATTTTCCTCAGGCTTATCTATGAAAAAACCTTTTTTACATAACAGGAAACCCAGACAGGGACTGCCAAGTACATGCTTACATACTTAGCTTACAAACCCTCCCAAATCTGCTTGCTTTCACACCTACAATCAAACAGTTCAGAGTACCCTTTGTAATCAGGCCTTTCTTGAAAGTAATAAATTCCCACTACTTGGGATGCTGCACATGTTTAGTAAAGTAAACTTCTCTGCTCATCTAAGGGCTCAAGCTGTTTTACCAAATCTGCTTTATTTAATCAGATGGTAACTGATTAAGTACAAATGCATGACAGTAAATTTATGAAGAAAGATGAAGCTTTAGTTGCCGTTCAGGGTCCCCTATAAACAGCTGAGGGAGAGGGAGTGGCTGAGACGACAGTTTAACTACCCTGAAGCTCATAACTCATGTTAACTCTCCTCTGTTTGCCTCGTCATCCCTGAGGTGGTGACAGGAGAGGAATTAAAGCCACTAAGGCTTGGTTTACAGGCGTCAGCGTTGTGAATTTACGTAATCCTCTTCAACTATGGCTTCTTTTGAATTTCAGCGGACAAGTCCAAAACACAACTTTGAATGTCATTTTAAGTATGTTTACATTGCTAAACTCCATTCACTGCACAGCGAACATAATACAGTTTAGTAGCTTGGGTTTTTTTTTAATTAGTTTGAATGATTTGAACATTTGAACAGTTTAAGGGAACACGGAAATGTATTTGATGCTCCAGATTCTCAATGGATGCCTCATTCAGACACGTGACAAAAGCCATTGGCAGTATAGAAAACACATAATGTTCTGCTAAATGGCAGCAGTGGGAGGCAGAATGCTGAAAATGTTCAAACCTGAGTATAGATGGTTATTTTACTGAACTGTCTTTAAGTTTCTTTACCACAGTAATAAGAATAAATCTACATCCACCCTCAATAGTTAATGGGAATAATCTCACAGAATTTTTGTTGACTGAAATAGGATCCAGTCTTATCTAAAGAGAAAATTATGAAAGTCTTACCGGCTTAGGGCGGAGTTAAAAGGGTGTGACTGATAAGTTAATCCAAATTATTGCCCATAAAGACATAAAAGTAATTTATTTTTCCTAAAGGTGCAACATTTTTTTCAGGTCTGATCAAACTCTTGCACATTTACAGTGCACTTAAACTAATACTAATCATCATAGCAAAAAGAAAGAAAATCCTCTTTTATTTCTTGAAATCTATGTTTTAATAAAACAAAGTGATGTTTACTAGGTTTTTGTTTTATTGGAATTTAAAAAGCATGGGTGCAAAATATATTAAACAACATATATTAACATTAAAAATGGATTAGTTCTGCTGGGGTCAGGACTTAATGCACATAAAAGTACTGATGATCAAATGTTCTTGATTTAATAAGAATTCTTTGTGTCCAACTTTCTAAAAAAAACAGCTTGTTGTCAGCTTGCTGATCTCAATGGTGCTTTAGTGTCAATAAAATACCAAGTCACAGAGGAAATAGCAGCAACCTTGGATAAGCAATTTTGTTATGACCTGTAATGTGATTTCCCAAATATTTAAATTTCTTTATTATGCAGGGCTAAAATCTTTGGAGGTAAATTTCTCCAATTTGAGATCAATAAAGTTCAGTTATAAAAATATATAGTTATTTTGCCTAAAAAATAGAAACAACCTTTGTTATAGATTTGACTAGCCTGAGTGTGTTAAATGTATAAAACATTAAACATCTAACAGAGTCTTTCAATTCATCTCTTTCAAAAGAACATGCAATCACAACTTAGGTGTGCAAAGTTGCATCTGCATGAGCTACAGCGCATTTGGAGAAATACGATTTGGACAGGTGAGGTAAAAGTAGACAAGATTTCAGTATATTGCAAAAAGTCTTTTGAAAAGAAAATGTTACAGCATATCAGAACAAATTCCTCATATTAACTACTAAGCATGAGGGTTGAAGAGTAAAGATGTTGGCTTGTTTCGAGCACCCTGACTTTGAGCCCACCAACTCCTCTGTAAAGGCATCAATAACCATCTGTCTGATAGCAGAATCCAAGAGTATTTACATGACAATAGGTCACGTAAATACTCTTGTATGTGGAAGACAGGAGCCAAGTTCCTCCACAGCATTGAGCCAAATTAATTAAACTGAAGACAACTTAATCCCAGCTTTCATTTTGAATTAAAGTTCAGAATAAGTTGATATGAAGGCAGTCAGGTCTAATTTACCCTGTCCTCTGAACCCACCCTGATCTCTCAGACAATCTGCTTGTTTCCTCATTCTCCATGTCTTTGATAACCTCTGAATTTACATAGTCCTTGTGCGTTAAGTGGAACTCATCCAAAAGATTTTTTTCCTTTAATGTTTCTGCTGTGCTTCCCTTTCTTCCTCATTCCAGAGAAGGTTGACAGGAGTTCCAATAACAAACAAGCATGCTTCTGTTTATCTGTTGAAAATCTGTCTGGCTTTCTGTGCCGGTCAGGTGTTTTGCTGTACAACAGTCACTTGGGCTCTTCAGAAAGAAAAAAAAAATGCAGAAGTCATAGATAGATATATGTGCTTTTGATTGTAATGATAATCGTACCTGCCCTGTCTCGCCTCTTTTATCCACCCTCTTTTATTTTCTTTCCCCTCCCTGCTGTTGCATGCCAGCGTCCAATTGTGAACATACATCTATATACATAACTCAGCCGCTTCAATAGATTTGACGTACTAACCCCGCCCGTGGGCTGTCCCTTGTGGAGGCATTATATTAAAGCAAGACAAGCGTGTCTCGGGAGAAAGATCTGTGTTCTGCAGCTCCACACTGAGGCTCAGGCTGCCTGCAGCACTTCTACACTTAACAAACACTCCGACTCGGCTGACAGCTCAGTTCCACCTGCTCTACCGATCAGCTGAGACACCAGCTCTGATTTTCTTTTTTTTCCACAGGAGAAAAAAAATGAAACTTGAAGTTTTCTCCGCGCACCACTTTGCGCAAAAGCCACTGGAGCTGTGCATGGAGCCAGAAGGGGGGCTTCCCTCTCCTTTGTCCGGGGATGAGCTCGGCTCAGACGGAGACTGCATGGCGAACAGCCCGGCACCTGTCACTCAAGGCAGCGAAGCCGGCAAAGGGAAGCCCTACACCCGCAGACCGAAGCCCCCTTACTCCTACATCGCCCTCATCGCCATGGCCATCCGGGAGTCCAGCAGCGGCCGCCTGACCCTGGCAGAGATCAACGACTATCTGATGAAGAAGTTCCCGTTTTTCCGAGGCAGCTACACGGGCTGGAGGAACTCTGTGCGCCACAACCTGTCACTCAACGACTGCTTCCTCAAAGTGCTCCGGGACCCGTCCAGGCCTTGGGGGAAGGACAACTACTGGATGCTGAACCCACACAGTGAATACACCTTCGCTGATGGGGTCTTCCGGCGCAGGAGGAAGCGCATCGCCAAGAGGGGCCCTAAAGAGCAAGAGAGCCCAGAGGTGCTTAGTGAGGACACCCGACTCCCCGCCCCTGAGGAGAGAGTGGGGCCCAGGTTCTCCAGCTCCTTCGCCATCGACAGCATCCTCAGCAAGCCTTTCAAAAGAAGAGAGGAGTACCACCCTGACGCACAGAACCCAACCCTACGGATGTACTGGGCCCCCGGGCCCCACACTCTGCCGTACGCAATGAATCCGATCCAGCATACATATGTGTCTGAGGCAGCGTACAGCTGCTCGGAGCCAAGAAGGGATCCGTACCTGCAGGCAACGGCAGCTGGCAGTGTCGCACCTGAAGGCGCCTTCAAGGTGCCCAGCAGAGCCCGATGCTTTCACATAGACTCTCTGCTTTCATAGAAATGAAAACAGACTGCACCTTGATGGGGGTTCTCAGCTTCCAGCGCTCCTTTTATTTATCTGTGCGGGACTCATAGTGACCAAACTACTGTAGAGTCAAAAGCAAACGCTTTGTGTTGTCAAAGCAGATTTGTGTGGTGACAAACTAATAAGTGTCATCAGGTTATGCCTCTGTGTGTGAGAGAGAGTGTGTGGGCGTGCGTTAGTTGTGTTTGTGTTCATGTATCCACGGTTCAATGGTCATTTCTTTTGTTTCCTAAAATATAAATCTGTCACTTTATTTATATTTTCATGTTTTGTATGAACTGCTGTAATGTATAATATATTAAATATTGACGAAGCTGCATTGCATTTATGAGGCTGCACGAGAAATGTAATGGAAACATGAACAGGTTTTCCAAAGACTGATTGACTGGATTGTTGATTGATTGATACAAATGCATGTTCGGTATTTTTATGAATAAAAATCGTGAAACAATGGGATCATGTTGTTTGGTGACTTTTCTGTTATAGAAATCAAATGAACTGGAGTGATGGGGACTGGAATTACACTCCAGTTAAGAGGAGGAGTGTAGACGAAACACCTGCTGCAGAATCACATTTGTCTTAAATGATGCTGGGAATCAATCTTTAAATCATTCAAATTTCCCCACTTTAGTGTTTTCGGTGGAAATAATGTAGGGAAGAAATAAGTAATCAACAGAACATTAAAATAACGCATCAAATATTTTATTTCAAATATAAAAATGTAATGTTTTGAATATTAGGTTGATCTGATATATAGAGGGTGCCCAACGCATCACTGAGAAAATCACTATTTGTTATTCAAATTCAATTAACTCCTAATGCGCATTTTAAAAACAACAAATGGTTGAATCACCATATTGTACACAAATAAAATAAAATAATAAAACAGACAGAAAACATTCCCTCATGAAAAAACAAACCACTCATGTTTTGCTGCACGCCAGTGAAGAGAAAAAAGCCTGGTGCATGTCAAACAAGCAACTTTGTTGGCTTTCGGGGCCGTAATAAATCACATCTGTCCAACTAAAAGTCCACAGGGTCCCTTTTTATTCTAGACGAAAGCCTATGATTTTTAGATTTAACAATTTTAGCTGTTGATGTGTTTTTTTCATAGTGGATGTTAATTGTGATACAATTAAATTGGTTATTAATCTGGAAAAAAACATGATTAGTCTTTAATAGACAATTGATTAAGCAGGGGAAAAAATTGAACTAGTTGTCAGCTGAGGGGAATGTGTAAAAAAAAAACATTTAGTATACATAAAAAACACATTTTCAGTAGGGGGTGGTGCTGTTTTATCCTGTTCAGAGAGTGCATATAGAGACCTATCCATAGATACGTTTCTAAAGCTCGAAAGGTTTCTATCCGGAGGGCCTCAAGTTGCTCTCCACGGTCCTGAAACGGACCCCAGAATCCGCAGCCAACCGCTTGAAATGTATATATTAAAAATCAACTCAAACTAAGAACAAAACATCGAAGAAAAGCGGGCCTCACAGAAACCCATGTCTAGATTTAATGCAAAAAAACAACTCTTTGCAACATGGCAACCAGCTCATCTAACAAATTATTCCTGCTGATGCTTGTGCGGAGATGTAACTCAGTACATTTACCTAAAAACAACACGTGTCATTTGAGAAAAAAACAGGTACACATAACTCACAACAAACCTACAATACAAACAATCCACATTTACTTTAAATTAATCCTCTACCTTCTATTTTAATTCTCCGACACTCGTGTCATATCAGCTGCAACGGAACTACATTAAATAAAATGTTCACTCTGTGGAGTTTTCATTTAATTATTTTACACACAATTTAGAAGAATTTAAAGCCGCGGGAATTTAGCTAAAAATAAAGGGGAAAAAAAGCAGAAGACATTTCATACAGCATTGCAGATATATGAATTAATCTCTACAAAATAAAACACTAAATAAAACATTGCGGATTTGAAGCTGTTATGTTTGTTTAGAGAATAATTAGCAAAATGATCAGATTTTGGTTGCATGCTTTTACTGAAAAGCATGAGCAATAGATTTAAATAAAAACCGTCTTTATATTTTTATTTTTATTTTTTTACACAAGTGCTTCAAAAGCATACATTTGGACAATCAGTTAATGGGACTTTATACTAGCGGAGCATGATGCTTACTTCACCCAGTAGAGACAGATAAGAGAGAGGAAGACCACCCATGGTTTCCTTGTTCAGGTTGATCGTATTGTTCAGGTAAAAGGCCTGTGGACCAAGAAATTGAAGGAAATACACACAGGTATATACAAAGAACCCCATAATGTGTAAACCATCAAAACAGGAGAGGTGGGCCAGGTGACAGGTGACAGGTGACACTCTTCTCCTTTAGCGCGGACAATGCTGCAACCTGCAGGCGAAACACCGCAACAGCACACCTGTCTAAGGTGCAGTCACGTGACCCTAGATGTTCGCAGCATCTCGCATAGCTGCCATCTTTTCCATGCACAGTTAATGCGCATGCTTCAGATGTTGCATCCCTGTCTGGGCCTCCTGCTGGACTGAAAAGGAGGAACAGCGGATTGGAACTGAACTGTATATAAGGCAGGCACAATGTTAGGAAGTCCAAACAGTCTGTCACTCTGGCCGAAGTGAACCGCGTCTGACCTCCCAGTGTCCCGCAGAGGCAGCTCCAAAGATCCCGGCACCGCAGCAGGAAACACAAGCAGAGAGGCAGGACAAAGGCACAGTGGCGAAATAAATATTACACTACAGGCCTGATCATTCTCTATTTCATTTTATTTGATTTATTTTGTTCTAAATCTAACAAAAGAAAACAACAATCTATTTATAGTAAAGCATCATTAAAATCAAACAATATAACATTGACTTCTTTATTTACTTTAGGAAATGATAAATAGATAAACTACGTGTTGAAATAATATATTTGAAATGAATTATTTGCACAAAACGAAATCCAATTATTTCAACGAGCTGTATTTACCTGCACCATGCAGCACAGAAACACTTTCTTCGAATCCATATTATTTACCTGAAGATATTGAGTATAATTACAAGAGCAAAGAGAGGCTCTCATTTTGATGGAATTGAGCTGATTGGGGTCTCATGCAAGTATGAAGCATGACCAGAACACCCCAACACTAAGCGCCTCTATGGCTGTTTATCAGAGGGACGTTTCCGACAAAAACCAAATTAGAATCAAGCTGAAGCTGCGGTCAGTAACAAGCAGCCGGATCAGCTTCTTCAAAGCTGAACCCAGAACAAAGATTCCCTCTGCAAACCGAGGCATCCTGATCTCAACGGGGGTCATAAGTTTTTTTGATGTCGCAGGAAATTTCTGGAGCCGTTGCGATTTTGCGTGTGCATATGTGTGTGCGTCATTGTGGGAAACAGATTTTTATCGACTTGCACAGTCTTTTGTTTGGTAAAGTGCAAAGGCTGGTGCAGAGGGTGTGCTTGGAAACAACTAAAATATTAAAGGCCTTAAAGGCTACATAAAGGAACATTTGAGGACGTAAAATGAATTTAAATTAATAGATTTTTAATGTTTGTATCACTCCCAGTTTAATTATTTACTCTCAATCCAACCCAGATATAAAAGCTCAGATGTTCAACTTTTTGCCGCTTTTGTTCCTATCTCTCCTCTGTGATGCGCGAATGTTGGTTCTACCTTACGGGATGTAGAACTTCATCATGTCGGACAAATCTGTGTGTGATGTCTCCATAGGGGCGGAAACTGTCGACGCCCGCTCGCCTAATTTCGCTTTTCTCTCTCTAATGAACGCGGGGCCCCTGGGACAGGCTCCGGCCCCGGGGCGGTAAGCTGACACTGGCGCGCTGTGTGTGGTATCCAGGGCCGGGCTTGATGGAAAAAGCCTGCTTCCACTCATGTCAAAGTCATTTACTCAGAGTAACCCTCAACCCCCCCACCCCCCATAACACACACACACACACACATGCATCCCCCTGCTTACACACGCACGGTAAAGACCACCACCTCCATCTCTCACACTCCTCGCCCCTCTGCAAGCCCGGCTCCGCCACAGTTTGTTTTTGTTATCCTCTGGGCCATTTTGAGAGGAAATTATGAGCAAAATAATACAAATAACATGGAGCTAGGCGTTCTTTAGCAACAGGGACGGATTGCATGAAGCGCTGTATATATTCAGATGACTGTGTTGGAGTTTTTTTTATGTTTCAGATCTTGTAATGGGACTGTCTTTTGTGGTTAAAACTGCATCCTTTAAAAAAATAGTGTTTTTTAACATTGTTCGGGGGCGTGTGTGGCGAAGTTGATTGGGAAGTCTGGGGGAGGTTTGATAGATCGCTTATTTGCGTGCAGAACGGTCTTGGAGAGAAGGGGTGAGGAAGAAGGAAGACGGGGAGAGGAGAGAATGTGGGGCGCTAAAGCTGCTTAAACGGTGAGTGGACTGTGGCCAGATCATGTGTGGGAGGGGATGGCGGGGGCTGTTTTCGTCACAGAGAGTAAAGCTGAGGAGAAAGGGTGGGGGGCTCCCGCAGAGGGAAGAAAGATTTATGAAATGATAGGTGGTCGGGATTTGTTTGTCTGGACTCTTGCGCGCAATAAGACCCAGCTTTTTATGCGCTTCCTCCATTAAGGAGGTCAATGGCCACCCGGCGCGTCACACAGCGCCACTTAGCGCCAGTGTGACACCCAGCGGAGCACTGGACACTCAGTATCCAGTGGATAAGCAGCTCCCCCCACTCTCCCTTCCTCTTCCTCTCTCTTGAACGCTGTGCGTTCTGCATGCGTCAAAGGAGCACCGTGCGTAACGGGAGAGTGGTGCGTAACTGGAGACAGATTTCTCTCCATTTTGCACTCAGATTCGGGGGACCACTGGTGGAGCAGAGTTTACTGACCGTTGGAAGTCTGCATATTTTTTACTCTTGAGTCTTTCTCCCTCCCTCTTTCTTTTATCTACGCCAGCTGTACGTCAGAGCTGACATGACAACCGAGACCACTCAG